AAAAAAAAAAAAGAAAGAAAGAAAGAAAGAAGATAACGATAGAGCGAGGGCAATACATGGGGTTGTTTGGCTGGTTACCTAGTCGATGGGAATGAACTTTCCCTTTTGGGAAAGTTTTCCTCGTTTCCCTTTCCCAAAAGGGAAAGTGATCCTCGTTTCACTTTCCCGAAAGGGAAAGTTATCCGTGTTTCCCAATCCCGAAAGGGAAAGTCATCCTCATTTCCCTTTTTCCCTTTCGGGAAAGGGAAACGAGGATATATTTGCAATTTTGCAGTTTGAGAGGCTGATAATGACAAAGCACATAGCACACACAGCACACACAGCACACATAGCACAAATAGCACACATAGCACACATAGCACAAACAGCACACACAGCACACATAGCACATAGCACCGAGCAGATGGCACATAGCACACATTGATTCGGCCACAACCCCAACGTATAGATTCGACCACAAGCCTCTACTTTCTCTCCTTTTTTTTTTTTTTTTTTTTTTTTTTTTTTTTTGGGAGGGTGTACCTTAATACATACTATATAGTAATTACTTCGGGCACAAGCCTCTTATTAACTTGCTCTTAAGAGTCTTAACTATTGGACAAACGGGTCCGGCAACATGGCAGTGGTGCCTGTCTCGGCCTGTGGAATCTCGAGACTCATCCTCAAAGCAACACATGCAGACTGTTCTTCCTGCCACTGTTCTGCCTGCCTGCCTGCCTGCCTCCTGCCTGCCTGTCGTAATTCCCTCTACTGCAGCTTGGACTGCCTGTTTTCCTTCCTGCCTGCCTGCCTGCCTGCGTGCCTGCGTGCCTGCCTGCCTGCCTGCCTGCCTGCCTGCCTGTCGTAATTCCCTCTACTGCAGCTTGGACTGCCTGTTTTCCTTCCTGCCTGCCTGCCTGCCTGCCTGCGTGCCTGCGTGCCTGCGTGCCTGCATGCCTGCGTGCCTGTCTGCCTGCCTGCCTGCATGCCTGCGTGCCTGTCTGCCTGCCTGCCTGCCTGTCCAGCAAGCAGGCCAGTGGACAGGGAATTACGACAGGCAGGCAGGCAGGCAGGCAGGCAGGCAGGCAGGCAGGCAGGCAGGCCTGCCTGTTTTCCTTCCGGCCTGCCTGCAGGCTGACCTGCCACTTGGCCTGCCTGTTTTCCTTCCTGCCTGCCTGTCGCCGCTTACCTCCCCCCTTGGCAAGTTCTCTCTCTGTGCAATGGCCTAGCTGCTTACCTTGCTGTAGTTTTTACTTGCGGCTTCCTCTGCCGCAGCTCCACTGCAAAGAACATCACAGTCTCCGACCCTGACGTCCTTTACTTCGAAATCTTGCATCTAAACATCTAAAAAGGAACTTCAGCCTGTATTTCAACAGTTATCTTCTTTCATCTTCACTTTAGACCTCAGGAAAAAAAAAGGAAAAAAAAAAAAAAAAGACCTCAAAGCTTGTCAACAGGCAATGCGAGACTTGGAACGATTTGACACATGGAGAGAGTGGAAGTGGTATGTAGTCCTACCTTAGCTTTGTGTGCTCCTCTTTTTTTTTTTTTTTTTTTTTTTTTTTTTTTTTTTCTTAAGATGCATGTTACCCCACCCCGCCCAATCCACCCCCCTCTCATCTCTTTCTGTGCTTGGCCGCATCTGCGGTCACGTTTCTCCGCACCACCCCAATCTCCTCCACGGTCTTTGATGAGACAAAAAATGCCCAAGTTCGCTGAACCGGAGAAAGGGGGCAATGGAGGGAACTAACTGGCCAGCCCACTGAAGGGCGAACGAGGAGGATCAACCTGGCAAGGTGGACATGCAGGATTCTAGGAATCTGGTCATGGAGACCGACCAGGACGAATACAAAAGTTTTTTCTACCAATGACTCCGTGGTCTGAGGAGAACAAGAGGGGCTGTGCAAAGAAACGGCCACAACGAGTGCACATGGGGAAGGCACAACAATCGACTCACTACCTCAGGTACACGAACCAGCAGCGACCAGTAGCAACAGACAACTGCGCCTACAATGAATCTTTTTTTTTTTTTTTTTTTTTTTTTTTTGGTCCCCCCTAATACCCCTACAATGAATCAATTACTTCTCGTCGTCGTAGAGAATCAAAACGACGTACGCAACATCCTCGCGCATATGACTTTGGCTGCATCAATCACAGCAACCCATTAATCAATCAATCAATCAATCCATCGGTTCACCAACCAGTCAATGGTCCCCCTCCTGATTGCTACCTCCTCCGGATCGCCACTGCGCCAATCAGATTGGCCAGAGCTTCCAATCCACGACCAGTAGGGACCAGAACAGTGATGTAATTATTGTCATTTTTTAATGATTTTTATTGATACAAAAAGGTAACAAAAGCAAGGATACAAAAAAGTATCAAAAGCAGACAGAGCGTGGATACTCGGTCCTTTATCCTTGCTTTTGTGGATAAAGGACCGAGTATCCACACTATGGCTGACCATCAACCAGACAGAGATCACAGTCTGCACAGAAGAGGCGAACACAAAAATTGACAATCGAGAAAAGAGATGGATTCACTCAGAAATGGCTCAACTCAACCGAACCCGCCAACACCAGTGGTTTCAAAAACTCGTGGCCGAGTCGGGTACGCCAGCCTCCGCGTAACACTCATGGTTCACACAAAATGCGTGGCCGAGTGGAGTGTGTCAGCCTCAGCGTAACATCCAAAACCAAATCTTCCTCCACCTTCCACTCGAACTCTCGGCGACCTCCCTGGTCGTGTCACACAGGATGGACATACAGAGTGGATGAACGATCCCTCAAGTTTGCTTAAGAATGGACTAACCATCCTCGATACTTAAAAAAAAAAAAAAAAAAAACATCCTCGATATTCTGGACACCGAATACATTTGACAAACTACACTATCGTTACCTTGCTCGGCAAGCAGCAGTGAAAATTTCGGTGGCGGGGGGGTGGGGGGGGGGGGGAGGGGGGGAAGGAGGGGTCATCAAAATACGCGCACGTAGACGAGGCATCACCACCACCCTCCAGTCAGTTCTCTACATATCTGGCAAGGATATGGCAATAAGGATAATACAAGAGAGGAAGATCACATCCGGCCACCCACCCTACACTCTTTTCACACCTCAGGGATTAAGGAATAGGGAAGGATGGGGGGCGGGGGGGGGGAATACATGACCCACAAGAACGACCGAGAGCTGCTTATCCCCATGTCGGCAAAGTCCATCCTGTGTAATACACTCCACTACTTTCTAACTTTCTACATGTTCCCCTCCCTCCAAGCCCGTTATTTATATAACACAATCGATTACTTTCATTCATTCCTCCTCCCTCCCCCCC